AGAAAGAAAGAAAGAAAGAAAGAAAGAAAGAAAGAAAGAAAGAAAGAAAGAAAGAAAGAAAGAAAGAAAGAAAGAGAAAAGCTCTGTCTGAACATGCTAAGGGTAGCCAAGAAGAAATTCTAAATGATCTAGGTGTACTAAAAGCAATGAAAGCAAGGATGTTTATAAAAATAAGCAGCTGATGATGATAAGGCAAAGCTGGCAAAAGAAGTCATTACATGGTCAGTACTGTACATTATCAACATTTAAGAAATGTTGAATGGTTAAATGGCTAAAAAAAAGGTACATTTACAAAGGAAATGGAAGGGTTCATTTTAGTGGTTCAAGAACAGTTGCTACACAGAAACGTAATGAAAGCTAAAGTCGAAAAAGCTCAGCATGACAGTAAACACCAGATATGGAAGTAATAGGAAGACACTGTTGAATACCAGGCAGGTAGTATAAGATGACTGCACAAAGGAATGTTCAGAAAGGTACAATAGCGGCCACCTCGATTCATTGGAATCTTAGTAAGGCCAGTTTTGCCCAGATGCTCTGTATCTTTGACCATTTAGAGGTCTACCAGAATCTTTTTAAAATGTTCAGAAGAATCTGATTTAGACTCCCAAAGTAGTTCTTCAAGTTCCATGAATTTGGCAAACAGTTTTGAGATGTGAGCGTATCTAAAAGGTAACACTACCTCATCATCTATATAGCTTCTCAAACAGAGTATTGGTAAGAAGTAATAGATGGTGAGGTAGTGCTACCTTTTAGATCATAAAGTAATAAGCTTTGTTGTAAGAACTAGGCAAGTACAGTGGAAAACAAGCAGACCCTGTAGCTAAGCAGGACAAATGCTAAGAGAAACAACCACAACAGGAGATCAGAGACACTGCAGCTCACTGGTGAGATGTAAGGCAAGATATTCACACCCACCCTGGCAACTCATTATTTAAAAAGGTGGAAGAACACCACACTTCAGCCATGAACATGTCTTAGAAAGTTGTTACTCCTTTTTAAAACGTATTCTGTTTTAAGCTGGTAGAAACGTTTGAAGGAGAATTTTGCTGACCAGCTATATGGTTCTGTAACAAGTTTTGTCCTCAGTGTTAAATTATGGAAGGAGCAGCAGTCCCCGACTCTTTTGGTTCCACCTGGACGATTGCATGATGGGCGAAGGCGCTTCCTCTGGATCTTCTGCCTCATTGTGCAAAGGTTGGGGAATAAGGGTGGGGATAGGCACTGTGGGAAGGCTGAATGCATGTGTCTCTTTCCTCTCCCGAGTAAAAATGTAAATAGTCCTTGACTCAAATGCAGTCAGCTGATCTTTGGACAGCACTGCACATGAAATTATGACACAAAAACACAAATATTACTGACATAGAATTCTCCCCAACAGCATAACTGGATTTCTCAATGCTAACCAGTTTGACAATCATGTAATTAGTGCCTTCTGTATATTGTGATAGATTCCTTATATATAAAAAGAAAGAAATGTTTTGTTTTTAATCCTCAATTATCCCGACAAGGGCTCTGTTGATTCCAGAATATATGGAATGTCCAGTGAGAAAAGGAAACTGGGGTTGAGGGTAAGGTAGAGTAGGATAAAGGCAGTGGCTTATGGTTTATAACAAAGATTTACATTTTTAGACCTCAGAACTATTTCCCTAACTCTTTGGCGTGCCTACTAATGCTTTGAAACATTGCTACCCAATTGCCATTTTTAATGTGACAAAAGGGAAGACTTATTAAATACAAGGCTAGAGGGTAATCATATTAACAGTATTCAAATTTAATTAATTTTAAATATAGGTTAAAATTAAGCTACCTTTCCAGGCCACACCTGTTTCTTTTCAGAGAACAGATGCCATGCCATTTAAAAAATCCTAGTGTAATCAAACTAGCAGAATGTGTGTAAACACAACCCTACACTATACGGGGGTAGTACAGAATGAAGAAAAAGAATTTGGGAAAACAGCTTTTTTATCTTTGTCCCAGTCTTTAAAAACACTACCCTCAACACACACATTATCACATTCACAAACAGAATGAACCAAAATTAATTTTGCTAATGCTAAACAATACAACCAAGGCAATTATCCTTTTTAAAAAATAGTTTTCATTAAAAGATTTTGCATATATAGTAAGAAGTACACTCAGAGAAAAAGATATAGTAAGTGTGAAAGAAAGGAAGGAAGGAAGGAAGGGAGGAAGGAAGGAAGGAAGGAAGGAAGGAAGGAAGGAAGGAAGGAAGGGAGAAAGAGAGGAAGGAAAGGGAAGGGAAGGAAAGGGAAGGAAAGGGAAGGAGACAGAGAAAAAAGAAAATAGAAAAAGAAAGAGCTAAACTGTGTGATTGGAGCTATGGAGAGTTCATTGGGTGTGCTCAAAGTGTTAAAGACAGAGAAAAGCAAA